CTCTCTCTCTCTCTCTTCTATCTCTTCTCTCTATCTCTCTCTCTCTCTATCTCTCTCTTCTCTCTATTCTCTCTCTCTCTCTACTCTCTCTCTCTCTATCTCTCTCTCTCTCTTCTCTCTCTCTCTCTCTCTCTCTCTTCGCTCTCTCTAGCTTATCTCTCTTTCTCTCTCTCTCTCTCTCTTCTCTCTCTCTCTCTCTCCAAATCATGTGTCCAGTCTTGCTCATGTCTACATATCCCGGTCTACGTATCTGCGGGTACCCCTCTCCATTATTTCCTCCGTATCCCTTCGTACTGTCTCTCCCTCATCCTTACTTCCTCCTTCCCTCTCGTCCTCTCTCTCCTGTCTCTTCATCCCTCTACATATTCCATCCCTCATCCCATTTCCTTCTCCTCTCACCCACTCTTCACGTCTTCTCTCCCTCTCGTCCTCCACCTCCTTTCTTTTCACCGCTTTCCCCCTCCCCCTCTGCCTTACCCAGCTCGTCTCTCCCCGCTCTCTCCCACTCACAGCTCCTCCCATCTTCCCGTTGACCCGACTCCCCCCCCTCCCACCGTCTCTCCCGTCACCCCGTCTCTCCCGACGCCATTGTGGACCCGGCCGCGGCAGCGCTCCGGCCTCCTCTACCGCGTGGTTTTTGCGTATCGGCACGGCAGCGGCGGCGCACGTCGCTGCCGTCTCCGGGCCGGCCGCGGCGATGGCCCGCTGCCAGCCGGTGGTGGAGGCGCCCTGTCAGAGCTGCAGAATTTGCAGCGGACGTGGCGGGTCCACAGCATGTGATCTGTGTCGCGCCGTTCCTGACCGATCACAGAATCCGGGCCCGGATGGCGGCTCCGCTGACTCAGCGCTGGCGTCAGACCTGGGGCGGCTACTGGAACGGCAACGCCGGCGCCGCACCTGTGTTACGACATGTTGACGGGTTTTGAATGCGCTGAAAGCCGACACGAGTCTCAACACCAAACTCTGTCTGAGCACTACGTCTGAGCATTGAAGCTTCACCGGCGCAGCCTTGCTGTAGGCTCCACAACTCAGGCCGATGCCGTGCAGCCAGGCTGGTGCCGACGCGGCGCCGTTGCCAGGCCCTGAGAGCAAGTAGTGGGCATCTCCTCGCCGCCGCAGCCCGGGCCTGTGACAGGCTGGGCCTCTCCACACCGTCGCGCCCCGGGAGCCTGTGACAGGCTGGGCCTCTCCTCGCCGCCGCGGCCCGGGCCTGTGACAGTTTGGGCCTCTCCTCGCCGCCGCGGCCCGGGCCTGTGACAGGCTGGTCTGCGGCGTCCCGTCGTCACGTGACCGCAGCTACGGACCGCGAGGCCGGCGGTCATCGGGGCCATGGTCGCCGACGTGGCCACGGCAGACCGGCCGCTCTGTTGGCCTGACGCCGGCGTCTGGCCGGGTCCGGAGTCCTCTGCGGAGAGCGCCGGGCCATGTGGCAGCAGGAGCCAGCCCGCCCAGCTGGTCGCTCCGCTCGCATTCTCAGACCTCTCATATTTGTATAGACGAATTTGCAGAACCAGTGCCGCAACACAGGCTGGTGGCTGCTTTTGCGCCGTCGCGATAGGTAATGAGGCTCCTCCCCGTGATTATCAGTGGACAATTACGCCCTGATTATCAGTGGATAATTACGCCGTGATTATCAGTGGATAGTTGCGCCATGATTATCAATGGATGATTAGGCCTTGATTATCAGTGGATAGTTACGCCTTGATTATCAGTGGATAATTACGCCGTTATTATCAGTGGATACTTACGCCGTTATTATCAGTGGATACTTACGCCGTTATGATCAGTGGATAATGACGCCGTGATTATCAGTGAATAATTACACCGTGATAGATCAGAAGACCCCAATGCAAAGACCCCCAGCTGCCCCGGGCCTCCAGCTGCTCGTCAGCCCCGGTCTCAGTCCCATTCTCAGGGCTCGGCCCCCGGCCCACTCGGCGGTCTTCAAGACGGATCGGCGCGTGTCGGGTCACTGCTTCCTTTGAGCGGTCACTGCTTCCTCTGGGCGCTCACTGCTTCCTCTGAGCGGTCACTGCTTCCTCTGAGGGATTTTGTCCGCGTGACATGCGGGACGCCCAGTATTCGGGTGTCCCATCAGTCGTCAATGTCGTCACGAGGCTGTAGGCACGCTGAGAGCGCAGATCGGCGACGGTGACCCGACGTCTCCCGGCTCCCGTGCGGAGCGTCGCTGCGTCTCGTCTGACGCGGCGTCAGGGCTGGGCGGCGAGCCACGCGGCGGTGAAGGGGCAGCCTTCCATGTCACGAGCCGGGCCGCTGAAGGGCAGCCCTCCATGTCACGAGCTGGGTCGGTGAGGGGCAGCCCTCCATGTCACGAGCCGGGTCGGTGAGGGGCAGCCCTCCATGTCACGAGCCGGGCCGGTGAGGGGCAGCCCTCCCTGTCACGAGCCGGGCCGTTGAGCGGCTGACCCTGCCACGAGTCGGGCCGGTGAGGGCTGGCCTTGTCACGAGCCGGACCGGTGAGGGGCTGACCCTGCCACGAGCCGGGCCGGTGAGGGGCTGACCCTGTCACGAGCTGCTTCGGTGAAGGGCTGGCCCTGTCACGAGCGGGGTCGGTGAGGGACTAACCCTG